AGAGATTTTTTTTTTTTTAATATTTGTTTATTTTTGTTTTCGGCAGACACAACATCTTTGTTTGTATGTGGTGCTGAGGATCGAACCTGGGCCGCACATATGCCAGGCGAGCGCGCTACAGCTTGAGCCACATCCCCAGCCCCATTTGTCCATTCTTGAACCTTATGTCCCTCAGCCAATGCAGAGCTGGTCTGCCCTTGGGAGCCAGTGACTGTTTTCCCCCTTCCTCGGCAGTCCCACTTCCTTGTGTTCAAACATCCATCCTGATGGTTCCTTCAGGAAGTTCCTTCTAGTTTACAGAGTCCATGATTTTGCAGGCTTCAGAATCTCTTTAAAACGATGTCATAGGACTGGGGATGTGGCTTGGTGGTGCTAGAGTGCTTGCCTGGCATGATCTCAGGCCTGGGCTTGTTCCCTGGAACTGCAAAAATAAAATAAAAATAGCATCATTTTATTTTGTAACTGGGTGTTGTTATTGTTAAGTTTTATTTAATTATTTAAAAACAAGTAATTTTATTAGTTTTTTATTTACTTACAAAAGTAATACATATAAAACATTCTTGTAAAAAATTTAAATACAGAAGTATATAATATAAAAATGACACTTCCTTTCCATCCCCTACAGCCCCCTTCCTCAAATGTAACCAGTGTTATAAAATGCACACCCACCCACACCCACATACACATTTTTTTCAGTCATTTGCATATGTAGATCTATACATAGAAATAGATTTTGTGATCATATGTACTTTTTTAGTATGCTTTTTTTGGCTGCAGCTTTATTAAGGAATGTACAACTGCACATATTCATATCATATAATTAGATGAGTTTTAATATATGTGTATAGCCATGAAATCATGACCACCATTTAGATAATAAACTTACCTATCATTCCATAAAGTTTTCTTGTGCCCTTGCTAGTCCATTCCTTTTGGCTCCAAAAAGCAACCACTGATCTGATTTCTGTAACTGTAGATTACTTGTATTTTCTAGTATTTTACGTAAATGAAATGATGCAGCATGTACTCTTTTCCAAAGTAACATTTTTGTTACTTCCAAATCTGGTTTAATTAAGAGCAATCCCAGCTACTTGTGAGCTGAAGCAGGAAGACCAGTAAGTTCAAGTCCAGCCTCAGGAACTTGCACTTGTCTCAAAATCAAAATAAAAAGGGCTAGGCATATAATTCAGTGGTGTGCCTGGGTTGTCTCAGTACAACAACAACAAAAAAATATGTATGTATATATATGTGTGTGCTTATGTGTGTATATATATACACATGTATATAGCTTTTTTGCATCAGCATAATTATTTTGAGTCATCCACCTTACATTTTTAAATAGTTCTTTTTAAAAAGTATCCTTATTTAGCTATAATTAAAATATCATAAATCCAATTAAAGTGTACAATTCAATAGATTTTAGTATAT